TTTATTTATTTATTTTTACAGGTTCTCGCTATGCAGCTCCAACTCATAGTGATTTATCCACTTGTCTCAGCCTCCCAGCACTGGGATTATAGGTGTGTGCCACCACACTCAGTTTTGATGCCCAGCTCGGCATACTGGGATTCTGAGGCCTGCATGACAGGCAGTACCAGGTTCTTGTGCTTACCAGGCAGGCACTTAGACCACCAAGCTATCTCCCCAACCTATCTTACAACATTTTAACTAATCCTGCTGTGCTCTTTGCTCTTGATTCTCAGTGTAAATCTGACTCAAAGCTTCCAACAATAGCCATGCCACTGCCTCAACATTGGACTGTCTGGAAATTTCTTTTGCAAAATTAATCAGTCCACTGGACTTAATCTCAGTCTCAGGCAACATCTCTGGCCATGAGCAAACTTCAGACAAACTTTCTGCCAAGCCATAACACACATTGTCCGGAGTCCAACAACCAGTTTAGCCTTTTTTCCAGCAGAAACCTCCTCAGGCTGGTCTTTACAGGCAGGCTTTCCATCAACATTTTGGTCTTCTGAGCTCTTACCAGAGTCTCCCATACAGAACAGTCAAAGGTGTTCCAGTGCTTCTCTTTCAGGCCGGCAACATCTCCAAACCTTTCCTGTCTCTTCCCATGAGCCATTCCCAAAGGCTCATAATCCACATGGTCAGGAATATTGTTGCAGCAAAGACCCCACTTCTCTGGTACCAAATTCTGTCTCTGTTACTCTTGCTGGGACAAAATACCTGACACCCAAAATTAAGGAAAGAAAGGTTTATTTAGCTCACAGTTTGTGGAGGTTTCAGCCCATACTCAGCTGGCTCCAAGGCAGAGTGGAACATCGCAGAGGGCAGTGTTCATGGTGGCAGAAAACAGCAAAGAACAAAGGGAGGCGCCACAGCTGCCGCAAGCCTCTCTCCCTTCCTTCTGTTGTCTTCAGGCTCACTGCTCCGGGATGAGGGCAGCACTCACACCCTTAATCGCAGCACTGGATCAAGAATTAATCACAAAATCAAGAAGCTGCCCCGTGACTGCATGAAGCTTTGGGGGAACAACTAGACACACACCATACAGATATCAACCTGTGAATTTTGGGGAGAAGACGTAGATCAGCTCCTAATATTGTTCAGTTCAAGCAGTGCAAAGAAAGCATGAGTGGAGGCCCTGGGTTTCGTTGTTTCAGCCCTGGGAAGTGGAATACGTAGGTCAGGACTCCCTGCCTTCTTAAGATAGGTCAGCCTGTTGACCAAGTCACTAGGCTTGGGCCGACCTCACCTCGGCCAACCTCACCTTCGCCAACCCTTAGTCTCAGAGCAGGTGCTGAGCTGCTCAGGCTGTTGATCAGCCCAGCAGCTGAGAGGAATAGGGTGGCGTCTCAGAAGCTCAGCGGGTTCAGATCAAGCATGAAGGAAAAAGGAGGAATGACCAGCTTCCCTCCATCTCCTGTGGGTCTTACATTTTGAGTTTTTGCTTATAGACTTTATTTCTTAGAGTTTTAGTTTTTTAGAAAAATTGAACTGCGAGTACAGGGCATAGCCCTTTCCCTACCCCCTGCACCATTTCTGCTATTGTTAGTACCGTGCACTAATGCATATTTGTTATGGTTGATGACCTGTTATTGGTAAATTAACTGAGATCCATCTTCACACTGGGGTCACTCTTTGGGGGCACCGTATGGTGTGGTTGTCCCCACTATCTCTCTCCCAGCTCCAGCTGTGGATGTCTCCCTTCCCCCCTCTCCCCTGGAAACCCCTGATTGCTTTGCTGTCTCCATAGTCTTGCCTTTCCAGAATGCTGGGGACTTGGAATCTACAGTACATAGCTTCTTCAGACTTGCTGTTTCAGCACTTTGAATTTAATGTGCCTAATGCACCTCTACGTCCTTTCATGGCTTGAGAGCTCATTTCACTTAGTGTGGAACCCTACTCCACTGTCTGCATGGACAGCCTGCTCACTCACCCACTGAAGGGCATCAGCGTGCCACTGGTCCTGGTGAGTGTGGAGAAGGCCGCTGTCACAGTGTGTAGGTGTGTGCCTGTGAGCCTTCTTGTTGTGTAGGTAGGGCTGCTGCTGTGCAGCGTGGCAGACCGTGTGCCACTTGGGGAGGAATCTCGAGTCTTCCACACGGGCTGTGCCACCCTCATTCCACCCGTCGCTTCACGTCTGTGCCTGTGCCTGGTGCTCCATGTCCTGGGGCTTTGTCACTTTACCAGTCTTGAAGAAGAATTGTTACTTCCCTCCTTACGGTGACACGGAAGGACCAGCTGTGCACACGCTTATGTGCCATCCACGGGAGTCCAGATTCTTTGAAATTGTAAGTGGTTTGCTTTCTAATCATGAGTGGTGTTTTTTCAGAACTGGGGATTGAACTCAGGCCCTTGAGCTTGCCAGGGAAGCGCATATTCCACTGAGCCATCTCCCCGGCCTAATCATGAGTGTTAAGGGTTCATTTATACACTGGATGCAAGTCCATCACCAGCAGTCCATTTTGCAAATATTTTCTCCCAGTCTGTTGTTTGTCTTTGAAGTTTCTATTTAGGTCTTGTGAACATTTTATAAAAACAAAACTGGAGGATTTGCTTTTGGGTTTTTTTGCTATTGTTTGTGTATATCAGAATAGTCGTCATGGGTAACAGGACGGAGGTTCCTCATAGAACTGGAAACAGCTGACACAGGCTCAGCGGCGCACCAGTGGCTACGTCCCCAGTGAATGAAGCGTTCTCCTGAAGGGCTGCTCGCACTGTGATGTTTATGCAGGCTCACCCGCAACAGCAGGGGTGGGGCGTCACCCTGCGTCTGCTCAGACATGAATGGATTAAGAAGCAGCAGAATACTACTCAGCCACACAAAGGGGTGAGATTCTGCCGCTTGTGACAATACCAAAGCACATGGGGACATTAAATGAAATAAGATGGAAATTGCACATGATATCACTCTCAAAAAGAAATGAATCTCATTAGTTCAGCATACAATGGCAACTACTTGAAGCTGGGATGGGGGATGGAGAAGTGGGTGGATGGGCACAAAGCTGTCATCAGACAGGAAGAACTAGCCCTGTGGCCTGCTGCAAAGTGGAGTGCTGGGACTAACAGAAATGCAAGAGGGGCAGGGCAGATGGCTCAGTGGAATGAGCGCTTCCCTGGCAAGTGCAAGGGCCTGAGTTCAACCCCCGGTTACAGAAAAAGAAAAAGCATGAAATTTCAAGGGAGCTTGAAGACAGGACTTTGAATGTTCTCACTACAAAACCATCATGTGTGAGGCGACATCACACAGCACGTTCATGTGCTGAAATGTCACGATGAACCCCCAGGTATAAATTCAACTGTCATCTTCAAAGAACCTGAGTTTTGTTGAAAACTACATAATAACCTACGAGGATTTTCACAGAAATCCTGTTGGGCCTGTGGACTAAGCTGGGAAGAACTGGTACCTGGACAAGACTGCCTTCTCACGCAGGACCACGCGATCTCTGCACTTCTTTGTGGGTTCTCTCCTCAAGGGCACACCCTTTGCCTATGTTGTCAAGCTTGTGCCTGAGCCACCTGACCTCCTTATGGCCTGTGGGCTCATGTGGTCTGTCCTAATCTGGTCCTAGGAAAAATCTGGTTTTTTTTTTTTTAAGTTTCAGTTTCTCAGGCAGTATCTAAAAGTTTGCCAAAGCTTGGCTGTTAACTCTTCTATCCTGAAATCTGGCTGTTACTGCTCTTTAGTTCCACTAGGTTTCTGCTGTTCTCTGGGAGTTTTGACATAAACAATTA